CGCATGCGGGAAACTTGCTCGAAGAAAAAGCAAAATAGGTGCAAAATGTCGCAATTTTACCTTTATTGTGGAAAATAATCACTTATTTTTCGCTGTCCCATTTACACCTTCGTTTTTTCGCTGCAAGATCTCTGATTCTCTTGAGCAGCAGTAGTTGAGAAGGACAGCGCTCTGATTGTTGCTCGTACCACTCCATAGCTGTCTCTAACGCACAAAACACGCCAGCATTTAATGGACCCATGCTACTGCAACTTTCGTTGTTGTTGTCCTCGTCTTCATCCGTTTCATCATCGACAGGGTCGGATTCTGCTTGCACGAGAGTCACAATATCGTCATCATTTAGCATTTGAAATCCACTGAGTCTTCTGCATCCATTGCCATCCAAGTTTCTATATCTTCATCGCATTCTTGAAATCCTGGGATCGATTGGACAAAGTATATGATCTCCTCCTTGTGGTCGACATTGTAGTCTTTTTCGCCTTCTAAATTGACAAAAGTTAAAAAAAAAGAATTGGTTCGGATACTTGACGCTTCGGATAAACGATGTTCTACTATAATTGATTATTGTATAGTAATACCTCGACTTACACATACCCGGACTTACGCGAGTCCGGAGCTACACGATTTTAAAATCTCATCGATTCGTCTTTTTTCCTTCTATTTTCTTCCATCACTGAAACTCTGGCGAAATCAGCCTGATGAGATTGGTAATGTGACTGAAGAAGTTGTCGATCTTGTCAGGTACATAAATGTAGAAGTGGGCAGTGATGACGTTCAAGAACTGCTGGATCCCCACAATCAGGAGCTGATAATTGATGAGCTCATCGAAATGCATGAACAAGATCAAGACGTTCAAAAAAAGTTTTTGTCCATGAACAAGATCAAATGACGACGTTCAATTGATTGATTGATTGAATATTTTAGTTCAGCCAAGGGCTTTTCGTAATTTTGAAATGGATCAAATGACGGTTACCACACCACACCAACGGGAGGACGTTTCAGCTGACAGATTTAACGTGCATCGCTGCCCCACGGCGGGTCTTGGAAGTTTGACAGAAGGCCCCAGTTTAATCGAAAAAGGTTACAAATTTTAGAAAATATAGACTCCAACGAAGAGCGTATTTTTTCAACAAAACCAGGAAGAACAAAAAAAAAATTATTAGCATGCAGCGAAGAAATTTTGCGGGAGAGAAAGTCTTTTTGAGACGGCAGACTACACTATTAGATTTTATGAAACCTTCTACATCAAAATAACTTCGTTTTGTAATTTTGTATTTGTGTGTTATCTGAGATTTTATAAACCATTTTTTTCTTACATTTTTTGTTTAAAAATTGCTGTTGTTTGCAATCGATGTATGAAATTCCAAGCCTTTAACTTAAAAACTAAATCTTCAAAAAATAAAAACTTTAATAAAAAGCGTGATTTTATGAAAAGCCAAGGGTTTGGCGACGAAAACCAGTTTCACGCCAAATCGGCAATCAGCATCTGCTTCATCACGTCCACTTCACATTTTCTCAGGGGTTACATCAGAAAAATTGGAGACTATAACAAATGAAAACCACCGAATTTGGCGAGTAAAAAAATGCGAATGAAAAATTTATTTTTTCTAAATTAGTATTTTCTTTCGTCTCAGGTCTCAACTAAAAATAATTTATAGGTAATTATATGCGAGATTATGCCCCGACTTAAGTGAATTCGACTTACGCGGTTATCACACTTCGTCCCACCTATCACATAAGTTCGGGGTAATACTGCACATATAAAATTTTAAGCGATATGTATCGTTATTGAATTAAAATAGGCTAAAAGCAGCTTTTTATTTCGAAAAATTTCCGTATCATTTGCTGCTTAATATCATGATTTGTAATTTTATGCGCTTTGCCTTTGCTTTCAGATCTCCTTATAGATTAGTCAAGTACAGTTGCACTAATATGAATATAATTTAAACAGCATTTTCTTCTATTATTTTTAGCTTTGGGATTCATCTTTAACACATTTGGTCAATAAATGTATTGCCAATGGTTAAGTTTATGTAATGGTAAACAAGTAATATAAAAAAATTAAGTCAATTCCTACTTCGATCAACAAAGAAAAATTTTATCTTAGTTACTTTTTATTAAATAGTTACTATTAATATAAATATGTATATACACCAGACAGAATCACAACATTAAGTGAGAATTAAATTTTATTAATTACCATTAAAGTATCGTATTGTCATCCAAAACAATCGTGTATATAAAATTTCAGTTCAACTGAATGCTTTAAAACGTGAGCAAAAAATCTTTTCAAGTTTTCACACAAGTCACCAAAAGAGTCGCCAAAAAGAATGCCAACGTGGCTGTATTTGTAATTCTTTGAATAATTAGTTTTAATCAATTAATTTTTAGTGATAATAATTAAATTATTGTATTGCCATCCAATATAATCATGTATATAAAATTTCAGCTCAATCGAGTGCTTTAAAATGTATTTTATTAACGATTGAAAATTCAACCAAGATAAATAAATAAATAAATATATAGAGAGCGTGAGCTAATAGTAGGAATTGAAAAAGAATATGAGTGGAAGGGAACACATAGAAAATGCTTAACAAATGCTTAATGCTTCAATAAAGTAACTATAAAATCTTAAATTTTTTCGAGATAAGGGACCATTAAGTCATTAAAAGATTTGAGAATTTATTTGAAAGAACAAGTAAGTGTTTAATGTTATGTCATGCACATTGTTAATCTCAAACTTTAACCTTTTATTAAGCTTTTATGAATAATTTTAGTCATTAATACACAGAAAAAGAATACTTCATTGGATTTTTAATGGTCTGGAAGTACTAAAGTCATTTTAAAGTACAGTGAAATACGTTTAACGTGAAAATGCTTAAGACGAAATATCGGTTAACAGGAAATTATACAATGGTCCTGGCAATGTATTTTCATGCATTTTTTTCTCTTAACATGAAACAAAAATCGCTTAACATGAAAGGATTTCTCTTATGGAGAAGAAGGATATCGAAACTGAGCCGACACTTAATGAAATGTTTGAGAAAGTATCTGTATGATGGGATTGTCCTACTGTGTCATCGGAACAATTCATCGCAGTAGATAATGATAATGAGTGTACAGTTCCAATAAGGGCAGACAAAGAAATTTTGGAGTTCGTTCAAAGCTCAAAAGGTATCGTTGTTGCAGATTTCGACAAAGAAAGTTAAATGAATAATGCAACTCCTGCTCCCACATCATCCGAAATGAGGAACATCGTGAAAAGTATGTGCAGTTATTTAGACGCACATTGTAATGGTAAAATGGATATAAAAATGAACAACATCGAACAATTTGTTGACAGCTTAATTCTTAAAATGACAATGCGAAGAAAAACACGAGATTAATTTCCAAAAACAATACTTAAGAAAAAAAAACTTGAGAAAATTTTGTATTAAATTTCATTAAGTTTCCTTGAATGCTTTGTTTCATTGATTTTAATTAATTACATGCATATATGTATGTATATGAATGAAAGCACAATGTGCTCTAATCGACTTAATTTTAATGAATATAAACTTTTTTTTTGCAATATCCTATAACACGAAATTCTTAAAACACGAAAAAATGCTCCAGTCAGCTCAGTTTCGTGTTAAACGATTTTCACTTAATGGCGCATGCGTACGACTAAAGATTTCTGCATACACTGAAAAAAAATGCGAGGAAATGGGCCAGAGTACTTAGAGATAGCCACACAAAGCTGGACGATGAGGAATGATAAAGGCGATGTCCTCATCAATTATTCATAAAGATATAACAGTCTACTTTCTGAGAAAGAGAGGGAGAGAGATGATTGAAAATTGATGAGTTGTGAAATATACATCAAAAAGGTAATAAATGTATTTAACAATTGAAAATAGCTTTTTAAAACATCAAGATATCTTTATCAAGCTGCTTGAGCGTTATTTGGAAGAAAGAAAGCTTTACTCCGAAGAATGTTTTATTATTTTCCTGAATCTTTAAGAAAGTTCTGAAATAACAATTTCACAAATAAAGCTATTTTATTTTATTTTCTTCTTCTTTATACACCGCAAATACATCTGGTTCAACAGTGTTAAACTATTTTGGAAAGCAGAAAACATAAACATTAGCTTTAATCTTGCTCATACACGAATAATTAAGTCACAAGTGGGTAGGGAAATGGGCATTCTAAATCTCTTTTATTGTAAGCCACAATTTTGAAACCTAAAAAAAATGGCATGTGAAATACTCTTTAGGAATTGCAAATGTCAGATGTTATTATGCCTTAAATAACAGTTTTATCATGTTATTTTCTTGTCAGAATTGCAAGAAAAACGTTTTAATATAAGTGAATAAGTTGTTGATGCTATGTAGAATTTACTAATACATTTTTGGGTCTCCATTACTCATGAAGATATTGTATTAAATTATATTATATGAGAAAGAAGGGAGTAATTATGAACAAATTAATTAATCAGCTTGGATAATACAGTAAAGAAAAGTAATATAAGAAAATTTAAAGTCAATTCCTATTTAGGTCAACAAAGAAATTTTTTATTTTAGTTACATTTAATTAAATAATAACAATTAATATATATATATATATATATATATATATATATATATATATATATATATATATATATATATATATATATATATATAATGACATATGACAGTATCACAATATTAACTGACAAAATAAAAAGCGATTTTATAAAAAAAATTAAAGTCAATTCCTACGTAAGCCAACAAAGAAAAATTTTATTTTAGTTACTTTTAATTAAATAATTACAATTAATATAAATATGTATATACATGACAGAATCTCACTATTAAGTGAAAAAGTAGAAAGTGGTTTTCCATGCAATTTTCCATTTTCCTTTCTATATAGGATGTTAGAATGTTTTGTTTGTTTGTTATTATTTATTCATTCATTAAATTTAATTGTTCTAATAAAATAGTATGGCAAAAACAAATCACTTTCCCAGAAATTAGGCCATTCCAGGTGGGATTCGAATACACGACCTTTGGCTTAGATGTCCAACGCGCTATTCATTGCGCTACATAGACACAACGAGCATTTTTCCTTTCTATATATGATCTTGGACCATTATTTTTGGTTGTTACTATTTATTTATTAATTAAATTAAATTAATGAATTAATATTTGAAAAAACTGTATTGAAACATTAAGTATCATCCACTACAAGTTTAAAAAATTGTATTTGAACTTCAGTGGATGAATAAAAAGTATTTTATTATCAATTGAAAATTTGAACAAAATATGTATATATAAGGAAAGTGTGAACTAATAGTAAAAATTCAATGAATAAGTTTTATTTTTCAAAATCTGCATTTTGAGAGATATGAAATTCAGTTGTGATGCTTGGTTTTTCAAATTTCTTTAACAGAAATTAACCAAGATAAATTCAATGTTAATGTTCCCCCTTTTTTTCTTTTTTTAACTTAAAAAATTTAAATACTTAATTTGGCCCTCATATATTATACATATTTTAATTTTATAATATTATCACAGGCTGAAACAAGTATCAAATTGCAAGCAATCAAAACTTAATTGCAACCAATTTTGGGGTGCAGTACAAAACATTATTATTTTCACTTGGCCGAGGTTCAAAATTTCGAGCTCCGGATCCAGTAGTCCTCATGTAGCTTTAAGGTATCCGACTACGTTCGGAACCGTGATTTGGCAAAAGCGTAAAAACGCATAATTTTTTAAACATTTAGTGTCACTTAGATTAGAATATGAGTATGAAATTGTTTTTATACTATTACAATAAAAAGTTAATTAAATGCAATATTTTGACAAAAAATGAACTATGAATTATTTATTTTCAAAACATTCTCCTTTTATGGAAAATGCATCTATTATAATAATATTTTGCCTATATATAGCCCAGACCTCTGTACAGAGTCTGGACTAGGATGTTTGAAATATTTATCTTAGAAGTGGATTTATTCATATTTTAATACATCAGAGTGGAGAAATTTTGACAAAAAAAAACCACCGATAATTATTTTAATTGCTAGTAACTCTGAAAATAATGGGATTTTTGTAAAATCCTAGTTCAGGCTCTTTGGAGAAGTCTTAGTTATATATAAGCAAAATATTATTATTATAGAAGCATTTTTCATAAAAGGAGAACGTTTTGAAAATAAACAATTCTAAGTTCATTTTTTGCCAAAATATTGCGTTTAAATAATTTTTTTACTGTAATTATCTTCTTAAAACAATTTTATGTGTGTATTCTGATCTAAAAAATCTAGATATTTAAAAAAACTATTCGTTTGTACACTTTTGGAAAATTACAGTTCCGAATGTAGTTGGATAACTAAAATTGTGATGTGAGTAATCAATCAGTAGGCGATTAATTCTTGAATCAATTGCCCCGTTCTATGCCAGTTCAGATCACAAAAGAATTTGAAGGCAAAATGATGCTGAATACTTCACTTCATTTACGTGTTCCTTTTAATACAGTAACACCCCGAACTTACGTGATAAGTGGGACTGAGTGATAACCGCGTAAGTCAGGGTATGATTTTGCGTATAAGTATATATAAATTATTTTTAGTTGGGGATGGATACGAAAGAAAATAATACTTTAGAAACAATAAAAAAATTAATAAGATCTTAGATAACCAGTTGTTTTTGATGTAGAAGGTTTCCTAAAATCTAACATAGTCTCTGCTGGCTCAAAAAATTTTTTCTCCCGCAAAATTTCCTCGTAGCATGCTTATAAATTTTTATTAATTGTTTTGTTAAAAAAATACGCTCATCATTAGAGCCTATATTTTCTAAAATTTGTGAACCTTTTTCAATGAAACTAAAATCTTCTTTCAAATCACCAACCGTTATTCGATCTTATTGAACTGAGAGTCTAAAGACTTAAGGTAGTTCTTAAGTTTCTTAAAGTATCCATCTACGCACGCGTTCGGAACCGTGATTTTGCAAAAGCGTATAAATGGATAATATTTATGATAGTTAGTGTCACTTATATTAGAAAATGTACATAAAATTGTTTTAAGAATAGTATTACAATAAAAAATGATTTAAGTACAATATTTTGACAAAAGATGAACGTAGAATGACCAATTTTCAAAATATTCTCTTTTTGTGAAAAATGCTTCTATTATAATAATATTTTGCCTGTATATAGCTCAGATCTCTGTACAGAGACTCAACTAGAAATTTTGAAATAAATAACTTAGAAGATGGGTTTTTATCCAAGTTTTATGACAACGGAGAGGAGAAATTTAAAGAAAAAAACGCCGATAATTATTTCAAAGGGTTGTAACTCTGAAAATAATGTGAAGTTTCCAAAAATCATAGTTGAGCCTCTGTGCAGAGATCTGAGCTATATACAGGCAAAATATTATTATAGTAGAAGCATTTTTCGCAAAAGGAGAACATTTTGAAAGAAAAATATTCAAAGTTAATTTCTTGCCGAAATACTGTACTTAAATAATTTTTTTTCTCACAATGTACTTAAAACGATTTTATGCATGCATTCTAATCTAAGTGACACTAAATATCATGAAAATTATCCATTTATGCCTTTTTTTTAAAATCACGGTTCCGAAAGTGGTCGGGTACCTTAATGTCTTGCTCTTGCTCATGCATTTATATGAGCTCATCCATTGTCAGTTCCTGGTTGTGAGAATCCAACAGTTCTCGAACGACATCACTATCCACTTCTAAATTTACTTGCTTGGCAAGATCCACAACGTCTTCAATCACATTACCAATTTTACCAATTTTTTTCAAACGAAAGATGAATCTATGAAAATTGAAAATCGCGTACCTTTGGTTTCCAGAAAGTTTTTGAAACATGCTCAGATCCCATCTAACGGATAATACGAAGAAATTGCTGATAGAGTGAAATATATAGAGAAGGCACTTATTTCAAGGGGATGAATGACATTAATTTAGTCTTAGATGTGTATGTCACCGTTAAAGTGTGAAATCCATTTTTGCATAGGGTATAACTAGGTATTCCATGAAACATCTAGACAAGTCAGTTAAAGTATATAAAATTATTAAATTCTGTGATTTAACTAGGTATTCTGAAGAATAACGATCACTTGATCGTTGTTGTTGTTTCCAATCCCCTTGGAGCAGGAAAGCCTACACCACAAGTCCATTTGAACTTTCCGCGTGATTGTCTCACACACCAGGCCTTGCTCTTCATACAACTGTCGCAGGGAAATGCCCCAACAGTCCAGAAGATGAGCAGGAGAAGCAAGGAGAGAGCAGGGACAGGTAAAGAAAGACTTTACCCCCTGCACAAAAGTCATACTACGCAGGTGACCGCTTCTAAAGCGCCCCAAGGCCGTTTGATGAGCCCTGGAACTCCTGCACTGTGTAGATAGGCCAGGACTCTCTTAGCTGCGTACCAGTGGTGAGCAGGAGGGTTTCGCCAAGTCAAATTCATTTTACTTCTTTGGAAGGAATGAATTTCCGTATGGGTTAAGACAGTGGAACTGGGGTTAGGGGATCACATCCCCTACCAGCCAGCTCATCAGCAGCTTCGTTCCCAGGCACACCCACATGTGATGGAATCCACTGGAGACATACTTGTTTCCTCTGATGAAGCTTAACTAATTTGGATAAAATATCTAGACCAGTACTGTCCATAATTTTTGGCCATTTCTTCAAATACTAGATGGAGCTTCTGCTGTCTGTCAGGATCCAGATACTGTCCTTATAAGAGTTGAGAGCATGATCGAGAGCACCACTAATAGCAATGAGTTCCGATCTAAAGACGGAACAGTGATCAGGATTTCTGATGCTGATTTTAACACCGTACCCAGGAGTGTTACTAAAAATAAAACTCCCTGCTCTACCCGTATCCGAACGACTACCATCTGTGTAAATAATCATGGCTTGATCGGGTATGTCATTTATTACTTCAAGTGCCAGTTGTCTGAATAATTCCGGATGGCTGCTATGCTTGGGAGTACTGGCCAATAATTACTCCCGGAATTCAACATGATTAAAAGAATCAATAGGTGTGATGCAGCTAAAAGGTGTAGATATGTCAACATTGAAATCAATAAAACCATGTTTACGCATATAATTAAGTGGGCTGTCTCGCTTTAAACGTTGGTTACTTGTCAAATTTAAAATGAAAGAAGAGGTTCTATTGAAGGATCCAAAGCATTTAATTTTGTTAAAATACCTATATGAGTTGACTTCGAATCTCATAGTAAGAGGTTGGATGTCTCCCTCGTACAGAACTATGTCAGTAGGGCAACTATATCTAAGGTTCGTGATAATCTTGATCGTTAGAGTATAAAATACGGCTCTAGAAAGTTCTTTGAACCGATTCCAGCTGCTTTGGCCGAATAAAACAATTGCACTTAAGATCAGAGGTCACCAAAGTGGTGGTCCGCGAGAAATGGTCCCCAGAAAAATGTGGAATATACTCACTCATCACGTTAAGTTATGTTTTAAGATGCATTGATTGTGTTCTTAGACAATATAGTTTATAAATATATTTAACACTTAAAAAATCCTATTAGTGGTCCGCGGGATTTAAATTATGAATTTACTGGTCCGTGAATTGAAAAAGTTTGGCGACCACTGCTCTAGATATCAGTTCAGTATATGTCAGCAAAAATTAATTTCCATTGAAGAAGTTCCAAATATTTGACACAAAGCTTCGATCTGCTGCAACAGTTCAAAGTTTAGGTACTGGACAAGGATTTAAAAAGTGCTCGTGTAAAAAAAATGTGCAATAGTAAAAGGCGCGTTTGTTTCTAAAAATAAAAGTAGTACAATCCACACCAATCCTTGCTTTAATAAATAATGAAAAGTAAAATAAAGGCATTTCATAAAATTTAAATTAATATTCTCTTACATTTTTGTTTAAAAAAGTTTACACAATGTTTTTAGGAAGCAACAGTTTTTCTTCTCAGCATGTATTTTTGTTGATAATATCTAAATATAATATATTTTTGCAACATATTCTTTTTGTTCCCCTTTCTGTTTAACTAATGTTATCAATACGAGCAATAATAAATTATATAATCTGCTTTCTCTTGTTATT